GGCCACACTGTATGTTCCCTGCAGACAGCGACCACCCAGGGTCGTGCACACCAGGACCAGAGGGGCCATGAGAGGAAAAGGTCAAGCAGCTGACCTGTCCAGTAATTTCCAGTCTAGCCATGCTAAGCTTCCTCGATTCTGCTGTGGATTTACTCACGAGGAAGAAAAGGCAGAAGCAGCGATGATGACGAGAACCTCCAGCCCCTGCTCAGAGCTCAGAAGGACCCCTTCCTCTCCCAGCGAATCTAGAACCAGGCACTGAGACAATCCCTTTGATCATGTAGAGTGGACATCCAAGAGCTGTTATGAGACGTTACACCAATAGCTAATACTTATTTTATTTTATTTTATTTTAGTATTTTAGGGAGGGTCTACAGGGTGTTCAGGGTCTCACTACTAGATAGGACCTGTAGTGATCCGCCTGTTTACAGCTTCCTAAGAGCTGGGATTCCAGGCGTGCGCCACCATGCTCAGTCTCAATTGCTATCTCAGCATGGCCCAGAGGCGGGGCCAGCACTGCAGGCCCAGGGATTGAACCCCGGGCCCCTGAGCCTGCTTGCAGGCACTTTCATCTGCTGAGCTATTCGGCTGGCCCCATAACTAATACTTATTAGCTGCAAAATGGGCAGTGTGTGCCATCTCATTTAATACACAACTCCAAGCAGAAGGTGATTCCCAGGGCAAAGGAAGCAACAAGCTCAAAGAGGCTTGGTCCTTTCTCCCTTGCCTGAGGCAGCCCAGCACCTCACGTGTTCAAGAGAAAAATGACGAGCCCACCACTCTGCCTGCCCTGAGAGACAGCGCCCTTCTCATTTCCTCCACAGTTCTTTACCTTCGAGGCCTTTGTGGAAGTTCCTTGAACATGGCCCCAGTGAGGCCAGAAGCGGTGCCACCAGCCCTCCCACGCTGCCTTCCTCAGCAGCGGCACAGAGAAGCACACGAGAGGAGGGTCCTCTGCTCGGCGCGACAGATGCAAAATCAGAAGCTGGTATGGCCTGAGCTAGGTCTTGTGCCCAGATTCATGTATCCTAACTCCCCTGTGGAGGAACTTGATTGCATCTTCAGGAAGTTGTTCTAGAAGTAATTCAGTTAAAATGAGGTCACAGGACAGGCTCTAATCCAGTGTGACTGGTGTTCTCAGAAGCTGGCACACTTGGCCCTGGGCGCAGGTAAATGAGATCTGGACCTGGAGACGGACACAGAGGGAAGACCGCAGGAAGCCACACAGGGAACCTGGCCACGTACACAGCAAGGAACGTCTTGGAACTGACACCCCTCGCCGCCTCAAAGGAAGCAGTGCTGTGAAGGCTTTGATCTCAGGCTCCGCACGTACGTGTGTAGCTTGGTTTTCATGCTTACTGGAGAGTTAAGGGCTCAAACAAGTTTAGAGAAAGAGAAACCAAGAACGGTACACAGACCAGCAGCCAAGGGCTGGTGCCCAAGGGCTCAGCTCGGCCCTGCTGCCGGTGAAATGAGGAACATCCACTCCTGGCGGCAGGCTGGGTGGTGGGGCAGGTGGCACAATACTACCCTCCTCCCCCGACACACCACATGCGCAGTGGCCTGCAGGCTGTTGGGACAGAGATGGACGGCAGGTGGGGACGGGCACCTGTGCTCTTTGGAAGCAGCAAACGGATCCTGCCCCGTGACGTCTGAATGCAGTGCCCTACAATCCGAGCCACCCCTCCCCAAGGCCCCACTGATCTCAAGAGCTTAGCCCCCCATCTACCTGCCTCCTTGGCACCTCAAGCGGTGGCAACTGAAGACAAAGCTGTCGCACAGAGGACTGCAAAAGCTGCAGTGGTGGCCCCTTCCCTGAAGTCACTCCTGCTCCACTCCAGAGCTACATCACACTACTCTCCATATGTTGGTGGCATCCCTAATGTTTCACCAGTTTGATTTCTGTCATTTCCAAGCTGACCAATCTTAGCTGATATAAAGCACAAGTCCTCCCCAACTATGCATTTCTGAGTACAAACATATACTTACACATGCAAACTTAGGCATAAATCGGCAACACACAATTTTCTAAATACAAGCTGAAATGACCTTTGCAATACCCTAAGTGAACTACACAATACTACAAAACAGTTTTTAAAACCAATCACAATGGAATTTGAACTACACAGTAGGCACCAGTGCTTCACAGGCCCCACTGGTTTGAACAGATCTGTGCTCTGCTGAGCTCACAGACACACCAAGCATTCTGGGATTATTTTGAAAATGCTTTATGACGTGACTCTTGCATTTCATCCTGTCCTTCTATTAGCCACATGCAGCATCCAGCACCAAAGAGAGCAGATTCAAACTGGTACTCAAGGCCATGTAAAGGGCCACAGAACATTCCTAGTTGAATTGAGCAGAGAAAACATGGGCCGAGGAGATAGCTCAGTAGAATAAGCGCTTGTTTGGCAAGCGCAGGGTCTTGGGTTCAATCCCCAGTACCTCAAAAAAAAGAAAACAAAAAAAAAAAACAAACAGACAAAAGTTCGGATGTCAAAGCAACCACTTGAATCTCAAGGGACATTTCAGCATTTCCAAAGTACGATTTTTTTGTGATTTAGAATAGCCAAAAAAACAAAATAACAACAACAAACTCATGCTGTCACCAAAAAGAAAAAAAAAAACCTTTACAGACTGCATTGTCACACTGTTCCAACCTGGAGTTTTATTTTGTGAATCAGTTTATATGGTCCTAAAAATAAGGAGCAAAAAGAGAATTGGATTAGCCTGTCCCCTTACGAGGAGCCTCTGACGTCTCCCAGAAATACCAGCCCAGGTTTCCCCAAGGAAGGCTGCAGTTCCCACCAGTCGGCCTGAACCGCATCGTTGCTCTCTGCCTGCTGGACACAGCACAGCTGGCGGTTCACCTGGCTCAGCTCTCAGGCAAACGGGCTTCAGGGAAGAAAGGGAGTTTTCAGCTTCACCCTTGGCCGCTTGAGCCTGAGCTACTGTCCTGGGGTCGGGGTAAGACAAGGTCATTAAGCGGCCACACAGAAACCCACAGCCGCCATGGCCAGCCACAAAGAACACGTTCCCAAGGGAAACCTTGGGTTAATCTGATTAAGCTTTCTAGAAAGCATCAAGAATGTATGTTGATGGTGTCCCAGTAATTTAATTTCCCCGGTTTTTAAACTACAAAAATTTGAAAGCTAATCCAAACTAGATAGGACCTGAGTGTTTGTCAGCTAAGCCTACTAAACGGCCCAGTATCTTTCTCAGCAGAAGACAAAGTTTACTGCATATTTCATGCAAAATGAAAAGGACCAGAAGAAAAGCAAACTTCTTGTGGCTGTCTTGTTTAGGCTCCTGCACCGCCTTAATTACACACTAGCGCACCAGCAAGTTAATGTGAGCTCTGGAGCAAGGGAAGAAGAAATACTTTTGAGACACACTGAAAAATGTCTCTCTACAGCCCCGCATGGCTGCTCTTGTTTCAACCTGGTTTCGTTTGCCTTCACCCCACCCTGGTGGTGTTCTCTTTATTTCCCTCATTGAAGACTAAGCAGTCTATCAAAACAGTGCCCCCAAACCAATCTAAGGTACAAAAATGCAAACACAAGCACCATTTGTCATTGTGTCAGCAATTCCTGCCGTCCCTGCCCTAAAGAGGACGGAAACAGGTCATCAGACAAATATTCCATTATCTCACCCCCAAATGCACAGGGCTTCTAGTCACGAACCAGCAGCTGATGAGTGCTGGCTCCGGTTGAGATTCAGAATAAAATGCATGTGCCCTTGCTTCCCTGCGCAGCCGGACTTACAGGAGTCCTCCCGAGAAAGTGCGCCTCCCACGGTCTACAGGTGTTAGTGCTCCTGCTCAATAGGTCTTGCTGCACTGGTTCCCAAAGCCAGTGGAACATTACAACCACCTGAAAGCCTTCTACTGCACCAGATGCCCGGTCTGCGCCCCAGTCCAATGAAAGGGTTTGATCTCGGAAGTGGGGAGCTGGGCTGAGCAGCCGGCAGAGGTTCCCCAGACCCAAGCACCACCACCTTCAAAGGACCACAGTACCTCTGAGGCAATGTGCTCAGAGCAGCTGCAGAGGACACACAGACAAGGGACTGACAGGCATTTATTATAAAACAAAACGTTTTTAAAAATCCAATCCAGAGACTGACCGAGATAAGGCAAATGGCTAATGTTACAATAGCACTCGGACAGCAAAGTGCCCCTCACAACAAACCATCAGACTGACCCAAACTCTAGCTTCCTATGAGAGGATAGGTTTTAGTTACTAGCAAGTCTGTGCCGCAGTTTGTCTTTTGAGTCACTAGTGATTTTTATGCCATTATCTGTCTTCCCTACTTGCAAGGGCACAGGAGGATGGGGGAAACCCTCAAGGCTTGAGGAATGCTCTCTCCATTTATCCCTCCAAGGCTTTAGAGTGGGCCTTCACCCCGAAGGATCACCTCCAATCCCCCTGCCACATGAACATCGGGAAAAGCAGCGTGACAAACAGCCACGGCCGAGGGCGCAGCAAGACATGTTTACAAATTTCCTAGTTCTTCTAAAGTGCAGTCACATCAATTTATTTCCAAGGCCACTAGAATACCAGCCCAAGACCTTGCATTTTCATACATAAATAACTCTCAACTGCCAAATCGTAACCCCACAGGTCAGCCAGGGCTCCCACGATCTCCAGAAATCCCCACTAAACTGCAGGTTATCCGTTAGAGGCTACCCAGCACCATGAAGTGTTCTTACACACCTGAGAACTCACAGGCTGCCCAAACAGAAGTGCAAAATCCAAGAGCCCAAGGTTCTTGCCCGAAGCTGAGAACTAAAATCACCTTTAAACGTGAACTGGCTGTGCCCCACTGGCAAGCTGTTCTGGTCCTGAGGAAACTCTTCTCAGAACATGTTTCCAGGAAGTGACACACGATTGTATGTGATAAAGTATGTCTTCATGCATGAGATTTCAGCACCCTTGGGGTCACACTAAAGACCAGCTGTGAGTGTGCGCGCCCCCTCCAGGCATCCTATTGTCCAGACTCACCTGTCAGCACCTCGCAGAGCTGCCCAGGGACCTGGGTGTCGGCAGGTGGGCTGGGTTTCAGGGACCATTTGCGCCTGACCAGATGCTCTCGTCCACTGAATGGGCCTCCGGAATTGTTGAGGGGTTGGATCAACACCTGCTCCTGCCCAAGCTGGATGAGGCCCACCTGCCCAGAAAGGAGACGCAAACAGGCCGTCAGTCAGCTATCCTCGTTCACACCCGCGCCTGGCCCCAGGAGCCTGAGGGCAGCAAGGCCACCTCACTGTGGCATGGTTTTTCCTATTTGAGACCCTGCCCTCCTTTTTCCTATTGCTCTGGTTTATCCATCCCTAAGACTGAGCCTTAAAAATACCCCACTGACAGTGAAGTTGGGGTTTTGGGAAGGATGCCAATATAGGGGTCGGGTGCAGAGGTTTATACAACTATCCATTTCCCAGGTCTGCTTCCAGGAATGATGCACTACTTCATTATCAATTTTTAGATGTCATTTCAAAATTAACAATAAAATAATCTTCTTAAAGGTCCGTTTGAGAAGCAACCCCAAGATTATTGTAATAAAACTTAACGTCCCTAATGAGAAAAATCTATCTTAACTCTAAAAGTACTTAAAATTAAATATTTTGACAGGGACATCAGCTAGATGTGTGGTATTAAGCTTTTGACAGCAAAAGAAATGACCAGTAGAGCGAAAGGATAACAAGCAGGGTAGGAAAAAATTTTAGCCAAGGGTCCCTCAGACAGAAGGACTAATACGTAGAACATATAAAGAATTAAAAACATTAGACCTCCCTATTGAAAGACCCGATCCAAAAATGGGCATCTGTGATGAATACACTTCTCGGATGAAGCAGAAACACTAAGTAAATGAAAAAATGTGTAACATCATTATCATTCAGAAGATGCAAATTTTAAAAATTCCATCTCACCCCCAAGAGGAATGGCTATCACTAAGAAGTCAGCCAATAACAAATGCTGGAAGGGCTGTGGGAAAGAAGAAAGCCTTCTCCACTGCTGGAGCATGTAGAGTGGTGCAACCACTGGGGAAATCAGTGTGCAGAGTCTGCAAAAGTCTAGGACTAGAGGTCCCATCTGATCCAGCTATTCACTCTCTGGGTATCTTCTCTGAAAACTCACATTGCAGCAAAATATGCTTATAGGAGCACGTTTATAGTAGCACAAATTGTAATAGCCAAATCTTGGAGACAACCCAAATGCCCATCAACCAATGAATGAGTAAAAGAGATGTGGGGGTTTTATACAGGAGTACTACCCAGCCACAAGGAAGGACAGACTTGAGACTTTTCTAGATAAATGGATCCTCCTGGAATAAATTGGGCACATGTATGGAAAATCACATTGTTCCCCTGGTATGAGAAACCAAAAATGTAAATAAGAACCAAACTGCTTAATAGGTATTGCCAAATAGGAAGAAACTGTTCAAAAGAAATAGCAACTAGGGAGGGAGGATGGGAAAAGAAAAAATAAACGATGTAAGGATTAAAAAAATACATTTAATTGAAAAAGAAAAAGAAAAGCCATTTTGTGATGAGGATCTGCATATTTTTCCCCCTGAACTTGTAATATTTAGAAGAAATTGGAAGAATATCTGATGAATTAGATTTGTTACTCTAATTTAAAGTGCATCACTGATTCAGGCTTGTAATTTTAAAATCTTACCAAGTTGTAAACAGTATTAGAATATGAAAGAGACCTCAGGCACTTCTAATACTTATAAAATGAAGTTACTGGGTTTATAAAAGTTGCTTAAGTCCTAGAGAAGGTTATGTTTTAATCCAGACAATCAAATAAACATGAACTTGAATGTTAAATTTTCTAAAGACAGTTTTCAATGTTTCAAATTGTGAACTGCCAAATGTATGAATGGGGCTAAGTAGGATTCCACAGCCCCTTAAAAAGCAATTGCACAATGTAGTACATTATAAGATTACTAAATTGTAAGAAAAACTTCAAAACGGGGATTTTTAATTTATCACTTTAATAGACTAAATATTAATTCTGGAAAAAAGTGTACTAGAAAACTTTGTCCCTCCTTTGGAAGCAGAGCTGACAACATTAAACCAAGCCCCCTCCTTGCCCTGCTCCGAGCTTCTCTTCTTGCATGGACTCAAGAAAACAAAGTAAACTTCACAGGAGAGCTGGACTGGCCAGGGCAGCGAGAGGGCCCAGTGTGGACACTGGGCTGAAGAGAGACTGTCTCCTCTCCGGGATGGCACCATGCACCACCCTGGCTAGCACAGATTCTGCATATTATGGGAGGGGGACCCCTTTTTTCTACCACCATTATGCACAGACGCCGTGACATACCAAGCCAGTGATCCTCAAATCCAAGCATGAACCAGGTTCGCCAAAGGTCCTTGGTAGGACCCAGCAATAACCATTTCTAGCAGCAAGTCTTCCTAGTGACAAGATGCTGGCCCAGGGTCACACTTGGAGACACACTGTCCTTGGCACAACACTCCAGTTCTCCCAACCCCAAGGACTGGACGGACCTGACTCAAGCCGAGGGAGACAGACTGTGTGTATTTTCACAAGAGACACACAGGTCCCAAGCCTCCTGAAAAGTAAATCAGATCAACACCCAAGATCACCTACAACCTTTACTCTGCCAGATAGGGGGGAGGGAGGCCACACTTAATCCTCCAAGCAGATTGCAAGGTTTCTGTTTCAGTAGAACTTTTTGCCAAGAACAACTCATAGATTTTACTGCCCAAATAAAACTGTCTCAGAGTGGCACTGCATGACCTGCAGGACTGCCCAGCTTCCTTCCCTCCGCTTTGAAGTGAAAACTTGAGTTTGTTCACTGATACCCTGGAGAGATTGTAGAGATGAAGGCAAAGGGGAACAAGGTACAGAGCTCCCATCACAGCTGCGCATAAAGAGGCCAAAGGGCCGAACATTCAATACTGAGCAGCAGAAAATGCCATGGTCCACATAAGCCGGGCAGGTTATAGCATGGGGCCGGCAAGGGGCCCCTGGTATCTGAGGGACAAACTGGACTCTAAGAGGAACTGGACTGCTCTGGAAGCACCCTGGCTAGGGGAGTCCCCTCCCAAGTGTGGCACTTTCAATGCCTGTCACCCACTCAGCTTAGGCTTTGCATTCACAAAATCCTTTGCAAAAATCAGCTAGCTTCAATGTTATAAGATCTGGAGACAAAGGCCCAGCCAGGTGAGCTTGCACGCGTACATCCATGGGAGCACACGCAAGCTCCTCGCAAGATTTTTCTTTAGAGCGTCTTTTCCACGAGGTCCCACATACTGCTTTCCATCCACGCAGACACGAAGACAGCAACGCTGCAGAGACGACCGTGGCACACCGGGCTGTGCGCCACCCTGCCGGCACCCTCGTGGGGCCTGATCCTCAACAGCGACGTGGCAAGGACTCGCACCTCACGGAAGGGGCTGCACCAGGCTCTGAGCCTAGGGTGCAGCACATGGGCCAGCCTCTCACCCACAGCATCTTGCTGTCTTGGGGCTCCCTCAAGTGTCTCTAACACTCACCTTGTCCACACTTTAGGGGTAAAATGTTCTGATGAAAATTGTCACGTGCCCCAAAACACATACACTTCCATGAGGAAAGTTTTTAACTGCTACTTGTGTCCTGCACACATTATTACTCCCAAATGCTTGCCTGCCCTTATCCCCTCTGACCTATCTCCCCCCGCAAAAAATCCCCTTCCCTTTGGTACACTGACCCGTGTTATCAGATGTCTACAGGGCCTGATAGCTTGTTCTTCTGAAGCAGGATCAGAACCACTCTTCACTCTCCCAGTGGGTGCCACAGCAGAGAAAAACCATGCATGGGCCAGGCTTCTCTGGAACAGGCTGCCTGCACTGCCCCTCACCCTGTGGCTCTCATCTGCAGCTCCCTGCTGGCAGCAGGGGGGCTCTGAAGACCCCGCTCCATGCCCAGGCCTCACTCCAGGCTGAACCAAATCCTCGGAGGAACAGCACAGGCCTTGCACAACTCCCTGGGGGCTGCAAATGCAGCCAGGATGAGAAGCAATCCCTGCATCTCCCCACCCCAGTGCGGGGATTGCGCCTCAGGCCTCTGCACTCTGCTCCTTCCTCAGTCCTTTATTTATGTTTGAGATGGAAGCCTGCTAAGTGGCTCAGTTGCCCAGGCTGGACTCAAACTCCCGATCAACCTGCCAAAGTGCTGGGACTGTAGACACACACCACCAAGGCAGTTCGTCTGAACTTTAACCAAACGCTGGAGGCCCTGACCATTACCGCCTTCACTCCAACACCAGAGCACCTGGATCTGGAAGCTGGGGCTCCTCCTGACCATGGAACTCTGTCTGTCCACTGCCCTGCCATGGCCCATGCTGTTCTGTGGCTCCTGGGACAGAACAAGCCTGCCTGGGATGGTGTGATCCTCCGTGGCCATCTATGTGGAGAAGTGAGACTCACAGGAATGCTCCTTCAAGGCCTCCTGTGCCCCAGCGACAGCAGTAAAGACACCAGTCACAAGGCCAGAGTGGGCTGCCTGCAAACACCATCCAGAGAGACAGAGTTCTGGGAAGGAAGAAATGCCAGGAGCAGAGAGAACCAACAGTCCCCAGCCACTTGGTTTTAAGAAACACAATAATCCTGAGAGAAATGGTGCTCTCAGAAATCTTAGTTTTGCCAGGCTGGCTATTCTACAGGAAAGCAGTAGGGATCAAATAAAATGTATGAGGCATAACCTGATATGCTAGTTCCAAGTGGTTAGCTCCCAGCTCGCTTTGTCCTAGGACCTGGGCTTTGAAGAACTTCTGGACCATCTTAAGAGTGCAATTGACTCCACCCCACCCCCAAGCAGGACTAGCTCTCCTGCCAAGTGGGAAAGAGAAATGTGCAAAAGATAGGTTTTATCAGTCCCTAACTTGAGCACAGCCTCTTGACAAAGCAGAGCAAATGTGCTCAAGATACTGTAAAAAGATTTCTGGAAGCAAAGGCATAGCCACGTAGTGGGGATGATTCTGTTGAACCCACCTTCCCACAAGGGCCATGCCTGACTCCAGAGCCCAGGGCACCTCCAGCCCACACTTGGGACACTGAAGCTCCACGGTTAACCAGAGTGCATAGTGGGTGAAAGGCCAGGGCGATGGGGTGGTGAACCCGCTTCTTGCAGGGGCAATGGGCTTCCATAGAGCAAAGGCAA